ACATCTTTAATCTCTAATAACTCCATTCTACTCTCTGTTGTTCTGTTTTCAGTGTTTCTTTTTCTGGACACAGCTCTATTCACACGCTGTGTGGTATCGGCTTTTGGTATCGGGGCATTTTTACAAGTACGAGTACGAGTACGAGTACGAGTACAGGAGCGCAGTATCGGTGCATCCCTAATTTACAGTTCAGATAAAGGTTTTCACAAAAACAAAGTTTTATAAAATTATAAACTTCACATTTCAGGCTTTAAACCATTTTTAAGAAATTGAATGAGTCATAAGTAGCAATTATATTAATTTAAACATTCATTATCAATCATTATATTAATTAAATAACATATAAATATATTTTACTGTCTTAATTGTTTAGATTTTTAGAATGAATTTTCTTGTCAATCCACCAGTTCCCATTTACAGCTCTGCGTGTTTGCAGAATTTAAACATGGGGTGGATTTTCGCATTGGTCTGAATATAAACAGCAGACGGGCTCATTGAAAATGCACATTCATTTTCTACCAGCAGGAATGGCAGAAATACAGCAGTTTTCCCAGTAATGGCAGTACACAAAGCAGCAGCCCCGGACTTTGAAACGTGCAGCGCTCATGTTTATTTAATAAAACCAGCCTTTTGAAGTTTAATCATCACATTGAGTTATATCTCGATTCTTGTCTTTCCGTCCCCAAATTTAAGACCTCTTGAAATCATAATTAAGACTTACTTGTACCATTTAAGACTTTTATGGTCTTAAATTACTAACTAAATTTAAGACTTTTTAAGGACCCACGGAAACTCTACTCCAGTCTTCAGTGTCACGTGATTCTTCAGAAATCATTCTAATATGCTGATTTGTTGCTCAAGAAACATTTCTATTATTATCAATGCTGAAAACAGTTGTGCTGCTTCATATTTTTGGAAACTGTGATTCTTTTTTTTCAGGATTCTTTGATGAACAGGAAGTGCAAAAGAACATAAATAATTTAAAATAGAAATATCTTGAAACATTATAAATGTCTTTACTGTCACCAATTTAATGCATGCTTGCTGAATAAAAAAAAAATCTTACTGAGCCTAAGTACTCTAAGTTTTGAACAGTAGAATATATTTTTAAATTATACGTACATTTACATATTTATGCATTTGGCAGAGCAATATACATTGCATTCAATGTATCTAAAATTACAAATGTATTCATGCAAATCCATCAATTCACCCACTATTGTTTTGGAATGCATAATTGGGTACAAAATTCATGTGTGTTTTATGAATCAGTTGATTCATTTGCTTACCTGTTCTCTGTGGAGCAGTAGATGTGATGATTCGAGGGCTCATGTTTATGGCTGCAGAGGGCGATGACAGTGAAGATGGGTTTCGTCCGTCTTTGATCTCAATGCTGAGAAAGGTCTTCATGTTGGACTCGGGTTCACCTCGGGTGTCGTGGGTCCCTGATGATGCTTCTCCCTCAGGAGTCTGCACTTCTTCTGAACTGCTACACGCACGCCTGACATTTTCAGTGCAGCCGTGTGAGCCGCCCACTGCGGCGTGTGATTGGCTGGAGAAAAGCCTGGGCTGGGCCAACATGTTCTCAGTGACATTCCTCTCTTTCTTTGGGATGGAGGAAGAACAGGACGAGGACCTCTCTGCAGACACTGTGTTTGTGGAATGAGACGAACTGCGGCTGATTTTAGGTGCGTTCGTAACAGGTTCGGTGAACTTGCGCATCCTGTCACGAACAGAGTTCGCGCGAATGACGGGCCCCGAGAATGAGGCTTTGTTTTTAAAATCTGAAAAGAAAAAATTTAATTTGTATTAATTTAATTCAAATCTGGAAAAAATATATAAACACATTAGGTCATACTTTAGTTTGGGGCCCAGTTCTCACTATTAACTTAGACTTTTGCCTCAATAAACTCCTAATTTGCTGCTTATTAATAGTTAGTAAGGTCATTGTTAAGTTTGAGACGTCTTCTGAACCTCTAAAGACGACCAGTGAGAGTACTGGAGCTTTCTTCTAGGTTAAAGCAGGAACGCAAGAGATTTAAAGGGACAGTTCACCCAAAGATGAATATTCTGTCATCATTTACTCACCCTCGTGTCGTTCCAAACCCATAAACCCATTCATGTTCAAAACACACAAGTGGAGATATTTTTAATGATTTCACTGAAATCCATTCCACCAAAACTTGACGCTTCATAAGTTCATAAAGACATCGTAAAAGAAATCCATGATTCTTCTGAAGAGACTCTATTGCTTATAAGATAAACAGATTTAATTTAGATATTTATTCACATATAACTTGTTTGACGTTCATGACAGAATATTCAACTATCCCTTTAATCAAAGTCTTCACTTGCTCTCCATCTAATTTCATTGCGTCTAGAATAAACAATTGTGATAGTAAGGTAATTAATTCCATCTCATTTGGGATTTTTCAGTCCTAGGGATCATGCAGGATGTTTTGGTTTCTGCAGAAGGGGGAGGAGACTGGAAAGACTGATTAAAACATTACACCGGACCGGGCCTCTACGCTTGTGAATGTGGTAATGGCCCTATTAGGTCATAAGGAAGAGTGAGGATCTTGGGATACGGCCTGCTGACTGCGAGAGGATCTCTATCTTCATACTTTAAACAAAAGCAGGAGGACATCAGCTTGGCCATACTTCCTGCTGGGCATCTATTTTGCCAGGTATGCAACATATGCAAGTCAGATTCGAATGGAGGAAATATCATTAAAAATAATACTAATTATTAAGCATTTCGAAGGCTAAATCTTTTATTAATCAACATGTATTTTGATGTGATATGCAGAACTGCTCACCTGTATCCTTGCCATTAGTGAGAGAAGTCAGGAGAGCGTCTCTACCTGATGTGATCTAAAGAAAAAATCATTTATAATCAACTTCTCACAGCATGACATAGAACAGTTTACAGTAGCAGCAATATCCGTTTACAGCAGTAAGCATTTTAAAGAGATGCTTTATCGAGTTTTATCAAGAGATTTTTTTAATAGAGTTACACTAACATTCAAAATATATTTTTTAGATTAAATTAATACTTCTATTCGGCAAGGATGCATCAAATTGATCAAAAGTAAGAGTAAAGACGTTTATAATGAAAAATATATTTAAAAATACAAGTACAGTTTCCACAAAAATATTAAGCAGCACAACTTGTTAAAAATGTTAAATAATCCTGAAAAAAAAAAATCAGGTGAGCAGAAGAGACTTCTTTCACAAACTTGCCAACCCTAAACTTGTGAATGGTAGTGTATTTACATTAAATTGTAAAATTTGGTAAAGTATGTTGTTGTTCAGAGTGGTTTAAGCATGTTACTATACAGAATCTAATTTCTGGTCTCTATAAATGGCTCATGTCAATGTAAGTCTATGGGATTTTTTGCCTATTTTACAAGAATTGCGAAAGCACACACTCTTTAACAAGCCACGGATCTGAGGTATTGTGTCTGTTGCCCATGAATGAAAAAAACAATGAGCAAGGTTAATAGTGATTCTTAGCCAAACACCACCAATGATTCTCTCTTAATCACATCTGAACATTGTTATGGCACGGAGGATAGTCGGAGCAAGTGGTGGATGGATTCAGAGATAAAACAGAGACAAATAGTACCTCCTGGTGGATCAAACAGAGCAAGTGTTCCCATGAGACACCTTTCACTTCTCCTCACCTTCTGTCCTGAGACGTCTTCAGCTCTTTTACTCGTCTCATTCAGTGTGCATGCTTGTGAAGCTGCTGTGCTCTGAAAGAGAGTCGTCTCCAGGCCATTGTCAAGTGTCTTCAGGTCTCGATCCGTCTGCAGAGCCTCTGAACTCACAGCTGCCCTCACTTGCTCTGCAGCCGGACCTGACGGTGAGCTCTGGTCTGTCAGATGAGGTTCAGCAGTAGACAGGAATTCGTGGCTACGGTCTGAGGCGCTGGAGTTCAGCCTCTTTCTCTGATGGGAGCTGCTGTCATTCAATTCTCCGGAGTCTGACAGCTCTCGGTATGAAGGAATGACTTCTGAGGAGGGCGAGCGATGATCGCATTGGATCCGCTGAGTCAGAGGACAAGAGACTTTCTCTCTGACCAAAGGATCTAGTACTAAAACCATGTCAGGGCTCGAGGCTACAAGAGACAAACACATAACTGTAAGTGCATTGGAACAGGAACTTCGAGGTTAGAATCAGATGTGTTTCCACAAATCTCATTTAAAATAACCAACCAAAATGAGAGAAAAAAAACAAAACACCACACCGTTCCTGACATTAAAGTGGACTCATTCTCATTTCAGTCCACTTCAGCTATAACCAGATCTCAGTCACAGCACACTTTCCATTCATACTATTGATTTTAAAACCTAGTGAGAGTGAACCTGGAGAGCTCTGCATTCACAATGTACACGACTGTTTGCGTCAGTAAGATTTTCTTTTATTTGTTATTCAGCAATGATGCATTAAATTGATCAAAAGTGACATTTATAATGTTACAAAAGATTTCGGTTTCAAACAAGAGCTCTGCTTTTGAACTTTATAATCATTAAAGAATCCGTAAATACAAAATGTATCAAGGTTTTCACAAAATATATGAAGCAGCACACCTGTTTTCAGTGTTTCTTGAGCAGCAAATCAGCATATTAGAATGATTTATGAAGGATCATGTGACACTGAAGACTGGAGTAATGATGCTGAAAATTCAGCTTTGATCACAAGAATAGATTACATTCTAACATATATTCAAACAGAAAACAGGTATTGTAAATTGTAATAATATTTCACAATATTACTGTTTTTACTGCATTATTGATCAAATAATTGACGCCTTGGTGAGCAGAAGAACATTAAAAATCTTACCGACCATATTACTAATATATGTAATATTACCTTTAACGCTTTAATTATTTAATATAAGTATGCCATTTCAGACACAGTGTATACTGATCTTGTTAGCATTTAATAAAATATGGGACAATCAGGAATTGCATTGCATTGCATTGTAGCTTAGCTCAAACGTCACCGCATACCGCTTAAACTTTTTTATGCATACTGAATGGATGAATACAGCATACTGAATTTCTTTCAGAAGACTTTTAAGACTAGCATGCATGGTGAAATACTAAATTGACTACATAAAAAAGCAAATATATGCAGCTGGGCACAGACAAAACTAACAGAACTAAGCCAAGGGAATGTCAGATGGTGATTGTAATGAGCTGTGCATGCTGGGTGGAGATAGGACATTTCCTTTCACATTTCCTGCGTGCATGCACACTGTTTGGGAGATATCCAGACGCAGAATACATGGAGGGCACAGGAAGTGACATTAGCATCCAACCTTCAGCTGACTATCAGCAAAATACTTACAATTTTACAACTTTGCATGTACAAGCTCAAATTTGAAGATTCTTGTAACTGAGATGTTTTTTTCTTTCTTTCATTAAACCTTTTAAAACTGTGCAGCTGTTATTGCAAGCTTCCAAAACCAAACCTGACGCTTGAGGCATTTTTTGTAGTGTGGCAAAAGCAAAGATCGCAACACAGGACGAAAAAATGCCCAGTTCACTGACAATACTTGAGAGATTCACATTCACGCGTCGGTCTCAGACTCTAGCCGTAATGAGAGAGAGCTAAGGTAACAGCGTTTCTGAGCAGATCCCTGTAATTTGTAGTAAAAGCTGTCTTGCCGACATCCTGATACTTTTCACATCTGGTCAGGAAGTATCTTTCGGTTTCCACCATTCTCAGATCTCTGAAGGAGCAGAGCAAAGTCTGTGCTTTTGGGCTGCTTAGTCTAAGCATACGCTGCGTTCTTTTCATTGCTTACAGAGTCAGGATATACTCCTTATCAAGAACGTTTCCTTGTATTAAAGAGTTAAGATATTTTTTATGGCAAGATGCTGCTGAGAATGTCAGATGTTACATTTGATATTTTTGAATTAGAAAGAGACAAAGTGATAGACTGCAAATTCAACTAGTTAAAGATGTGTATATATAGCATAGAAAAACCATTGTTATTATCAATCAGAAACTCCCTTAAATGACTCTCTCCACTAAATTAAGACTTAGTGAACATACATGATGCATCTAAGACCTGTTATTGTGAGGTCTTGAGTCTTTGGCCTGGTCGAGTGCTTAATTTGATTCCCATCTTGTCTGCTTTGTTTACCACAAGTGATGTGGCAGGCAGCGAAGTTCAGAGATCCAAACCCCAGACGCATTCTTCTCCTTCAGCACAAAGAAAGGCTCTCCACACTCTCAGACAAATGCTAGGCTATAAAACAGTGTGTCAAACCCAACAACACTCCCTTAATCATATCTCTTTGGATAAACAGATTTGTTTTGCATCTTTTGCTGAAAGAATAGCTCACCTAAAATGAAATTTACTCTGCAGAAATGACACAAAAAGCACATATGACTCTGTATTTACATTATTACATTAACTCTATATTAAGACATTCATTCATATTTTCACGTAATTTGAATATACCCAAACCGATTGGGATTGGTATGGAAGCCCATTTTCACCACATAAGATTCCCATCTTGTCTGCTTTGTTTACCACAAGTGATGTGGCAGGCAGCGAAGTTCAGAGATCCAAACCCCAGACGCATTCTTCTCCTTCAGCACAAAGAAAGGCTCTCCACACTCTCAGACAAATGCTAGGCTATAAAACAGTGTGTCAAACCCAACAACACTCCCTTAATCATATCTCTTTGGATAAACAGATTTGTTTTGCATCTTTTGCTGAAAGAATAGCTCACCTAAAATGAAATTTACTCTGCAGAAATGACACAAAAAGCACATATGACTCTGTATTTACATTATTACATTAACTCTATATTAAGACATTCATTCATATTTTCACGTAATTTGAATATACCCAAACCGATTGGGATTGGTATGGAAGCCCATTTTCACCACATAAGAAAAAAAATTTATAATCATAATCATAATTACAACATCATTGTAACAAGTCATAATTATGACAAAGTCAACTTTTTAATGTCAATTATGACTGTCTCATAATTTTGTCTTTTATCTCATAATTATGTTTAGTATGTCATAATCTTGACTTTCTTTTTATGACTTAACACAGAAACGGACTCATAATTAGGGTTGCAAAGGGGTGGAAAATTTCCAGAAACTTTCCAAAAATCCCTGGAATATTCCAAAAAAATCCTGGAAAGTTTCCAAAATTTCTGGAATATTTCCGAAATTTACTGGAAATGTCCCACCTTTTGCAACCCTACTCATAATTATGACTCAATTTTGACTTGCCGTTATGATTGTCATTTTCAAACCTGAGCTAAAAAAAATCATAATTATGACAGTCAAAATAATGAGAGACTAAGTCATAATTATGATATGAAAGTGATACTTATGACAAAGACAACATTATGAGATACTAAGTCATAATAATGAGATAAAAAAATCAAAATCGGGATAAAAGTGATAATTATGAGTCAAAATTATGAGATACTAACACCTTTTACATCGGATGTACGCGACAAAATACTACAAAACCCATTATAATCAGTGATGCTGTCTACACTGGATGCGGCGCGGCGGACACGACAAATCCCCGACAGTAAACTTTTGCCGCCTCCTATTTATGACGTACTGACACAAAGTTCAAATGATTTGCAGCGGTCGCTTTCGATGTAGATACAGTGTAACTCACAATTGACTTAATTATGAGAAAATCCAAAATGAGATACTGTCACTGTTGACTTAATTATGAGAAAAGTCAAAATTACAACGTACAAAGAAAGATAAGCTATGACAGTACCTAATAATGTTGACTTTTTACGTCATAATTATGTCTCAATTTCGACTTTTCATCATTTCGACTGTCATAATCAAGACGTTTTATCTCATAATTTTGACCATTTATCTCATAAACATCTCCTTTTGCATTTTCAAAAATAAATTATATGCGTGACCTATTCCTTTAGCATTTGTGATCCTGGAGCACAAAAGCAGTCTTAAGTCGCTGGGGTATATTTATAGCAATAGCCAAAAATACATTGTATGGGTCAAAATTATCATTTTTTCTTTTATGCCAAAAATCATTAGGATATTAAGTAAAGATCATGTTCCATGAAGATATTTTGTAAATTTCCTACCGTAAATATATCAAAACTTATTTTTTGATTAGTAATATGCATTGCTAAGAACTTAATTTGAACAACTTTAAAGATGATTTTCTCAATATTTAGATTTTTTTTGCACCCTCAGATTCCAGATTTTCAAATAGTTGTATCTCGGCCAAATATTGTCCTATCCTAACAAACCATACATCAATGCAAAGCTTATGTATTCAGCTTTCATATGATGTATAAATCTCAATTTCAAAAAATTGACCCTTATGACTGCTTTTGTGGTCCAGGGTCACATTTTATTATTGAGATAATCCATTTTAACCCACTATGTTAAAAGCACTGACAGCCTAATACCTTTGAATTACCATAGTATTACCACCGGTCACCATCACTGTACCACAACAGTACTGTTTTCATGGGAAACGACAGACAAGAAGTGCTTTTAGGATAAAGGAGCATAAAGATTCTAGAACACAGTCTAAGTTATATATCTGATTCCTTTAACTCAAAATCTGTTTCAGTCTCTGACCCAAACTTCAAAATGCATGCATGACAAAAAAGCATGTCCTTCCCTCATTCTCCACAACAACTGTGTATAAATGCTCTTCCTCGTCCTGTTCCAGCCCCAAACGTCCTTTGTCTCCACCTGAATAACAAACAGTGGCTTCCCAAAATGTCTCGTTTCTGCACTCATTAGGGCCGTCTTTGCTTGGCCCTGCTCTCACCCTCTTCCAGATTTTCAAATAGTTGTATCTCGGCCAAATATTTTGCGATCCTAACAAACCATACATCAATGGAAAGCTTATTCATTCAGCTTTCAGATGATGTATAAATCTCAATTTCACAAAATTGACCCTTATGACTGGTTTTGTGGTCCAGGGTCACATTTGACAATATAAATACAAAAAAATCTCTCAAACAGGTAACCCAGATTAAACTTTTCAGTTTTTGAGTTTGTATCCAAGATGTGAAGGAGGCTGAATGGACTAAGATGCTTAGTGTTTGCTTAATGCTATGGACTTTAAGTCTTTTTGGCTTAATGGAGTTTGTCTAGCTGCTGTAAAAGGATTTTTAGTTATATGGTATAATAAAACCAAACCGCTGTTAATCAGCAGCCCAACACAAGCGGATATAATCGGGTATTACACGAGGTCACGTGATTGTGTTTCAGACCAGCTGAAGTCTTGGAAGCCAGTCTGACAGAACGATTTAAACCTAGCATGTAAATGGGTGACTAACATGACTCTTTTCTCCCACAGCAAACCTGCAAGATTTTACTTGCAAACAACAGCAAAGCATTGATTTTCTATCTGTAGAAGACAGATATAAAGCAAACAGACGCAGAAACTGCTCAGCAGCAGTCACATTCATATTTCTACACTATAATTATAAGTCCGCTGCCAAAGAAACACATGAGAAATGGCTTTTTCTGAAGTTCAGACCAAGGTTGCCGATAAAGAGACATTTCGCCCAAAAATAAAGATCCTGTGAACTTCATGCTTAAATTTTGCCTATTCCTTAAACAAAACTATGGCATGGCTTTAAACCTCTTTAATTATAGTGCACGGTTTGCAAGGACAACTTTATTGTACTTTTTTGTCCTTTAGAAGCTTAAAAGCCCCAGTCCCCATTCACTTTTATTACATGGAAAGAGCAGCTTCTCTCTACAGACGAAAGTCAGTCATATTGCATGTGGTTATAAGAGTAAAATCTTATTTTTGGGTGAAGAGTGACTGTAAGCCTCTATGTGTGTGTATGTGGTGGATTTAGTCCTTTGTGACAGGTTTAATCTAGCTATCATAATGCAAGAGTTTCAGATGGTGACCACAGCAAAGTGTAGGCCAAATGCACTCTCCTGAACTCACAACATCTCACAACTTGTGTGAAAAACATATTTACCCACATAAAGCTGTATGTCTTCTAAACTGACCAATTTTGAGGTAGCTGAGTGCACAAAGCTCATAAGATCTAGTGTGTGTGAAGCAGTCAGTGTCATTTTCCATGAGCGTCTGGATAAGTCTGGTGAACCACACACACGTAACTCACCATGAGTGAAATACAGTAGTGGAGCCTGTCATTTTGGCTCCAACACACACACACACTAGACTTGTGCCGGTATTCACACTCACAATGAGTGAAATACAGTAGCAGGGCCTGTCATTTTGGCTCCAACACAAACACACACACACACATACGCACGCACACACGCACGAGCATGAGATGAAGAGACCATACACCATATTCAATGAATATACAACAAAGGCTGTCAGCTTTACTGGCAATCTACAGGTCAATTATCCTTTGTTTCAAACAATTCAAGGGAAAATTTCATTTTGAATTTTTAATCTATTTTGAACACTTTAGTAATATGAGATTTTGTTTTCTACGTTTTTTTTATTACACGTACACACAAACTATGGTTCGAAAGTTTAGGGTCAGTAAGAATTTGAAATCAATCCTTTTATTCAGTAAAGATGCATTAATTTGACAGTTAAGATATTTATGTTTCAAAAGACTTGTATTTCAAAGCTTGGCTTCCGAAGCAGAAGTTTGTTTTTCCGTTTCCTTTTTGTCTGTGATAAGCGACTGAACTATATAAGAGACATGTAGGAGTAAAATAAGCATCATACACACTTTCTAAAAAGGGGAAATATGGATGGTTGTGAGTAACCTGATGAGAAGTCAGAGTACATGGCATATTTAATTCGACATCAGTGAAAACAAGGCTATAGTTCAGAGCTGTATTTTGTTCAAAATATCACACTTCTGCAGGTCACATTTAATTCTCAATATTTTTTTTTTGTTGTTGTTTTTTTTTTTGTTTTTGTTTTTTTGTTTTTTAAATATGAAGCAGCACAACCACTTTCTAAAGGATCATGTGACATGGAAGACTGGAGTAATGATGCTGAAAATTCAGCTTTGATCACTGCAAAAAAATAAATACATTTAAAAAAAATATTAAGATTATTAGATTATAGAATATTATTTTAAATTGTGAAAATATTTCACAATATTTCTTTATACATACACACACATATACATATACATACATATATATATAGTGCGTGCGTGTCTGTGTGTGTGCGTGTGTCTGTGTGTGTGCGCGTGTCTGTGTGTGTGCGCGTGTGTCTGTGTCTGTGTCTGTGTGTGCGCGTGTGTGTGGGATGAAAATAAACTGAAAGCAAAAGAAAACTGAGAGACAGAGAGAATATAAGGTTACATACCCAGTATACATATTTGCATATTAAGCAACAAGAAACAAATATATAACCCAAGTTTCCAACACATGATTAAATAACTTTTTGCTTTTTGTTCTTCCGACATACTTTTCTGTGAATTCATCCATTTTAGGAATTTATATACAGAACTTGTCAAAAGTTTGGAAACAGTATGATTTTTAAATGTTTTGAAAGAAGTCTCTTCTACTCATCAAGGCTGCATTTATTTGATCAAAAATACAATAAAAACAGTAATATTGTGAAATATTATTACAATTTAAAATAGCTGTTTTCTATTTGAATACGTTTGAAAATGTAATTAATTGCTGTAATCAAAGCTGAATTGTCAGCATCATTACTCCAGTCTTCAGTGTCACATGATCTTCAGAAATCATTCTAATATGCTGATTTACTGCTCAATTATTATTGCTGCTCAGTTATTAATAATGGTTCTTATTATTATCAATGTTAAAAACATCTTTTTGCATTTTTGTCAGTTTGTCAATTTTAAAATTGTAATGTTTCCAAACTTTGACAAGAATATATGTATATATATATATACCTGTATATATATATATATATATATATATATTGTGCATATATCTCAGCAAGAAGATTTAAAATGTATTTAAATACAAGAAAAACCAAAACCATACTTTAGAAACTGCATTAAACAAACTTAAATGTGCAATTATCAGATCTAGAAATAGAGAAGCGTGGCACTCCCTGAACATCAATCAAAATTGCACAATGCTACAACATTATATTCCTTACATAATTTTCTATATAAATAGATGGCCAAATCATTTGAAAAACAGTACAAAATTTCTAATTGCCACTCACACTGAACCCTTGAGCTTTTCAACAGGCCAAAACAATCTCCAGCCCTGCCTCTATTTCTCTCTCCTCATTCCACATTAAGCCCCAAACTTCAGCGCAGTTATCCCTGAGATTCACCGCGCCACATTTACTCACCTGCAGGTCAAAGCTGCTTTGAGGATTTTGTCGTCGCTCTGTTCTCTGGCCAGCGGTCTGAACCTTCTCTAATACTCCTGTGAATGAGAACGGGGGAATGTAAACACACACAGACGTATAGAGATATTTTTCCAGCCCTTCAGATAGAATCTCACCTCGTATCTCCTCATCTCTCAGCCGGCGAATGGCTGCCCGAATGAGTTTTCTCTCTTCATATTCACTGGCGCTTTGTAACTTAAAAGAAAGAAAGAAAAACAGAGGGCAAGACACAAAAACAGTATTTAGCTTGACACGACTGATATTTAAGCCCACACAGAATGTGAACCCACAGAATTCCACAGAGAAAATGCTGGGATATTTCCACAGAATTCAAACTATTCGAAAATACCAAATACATTTTTAATTGCAGGTTTTGGATGAAGTATTTAAAGGAATAGTTCCCCCAAAAAATGACCATTTGCTGAAAATGTACTCATCCTCAGCCCATCCAAGATGTAGATGAGTTTGTTTCTTCATGGGAACAGATTTGGAGAAATGTAGCATTCCATCACTTTCTCGCCAAAGGATCCTCTGCAGTGAATGGGTGCCGTCAGAATGAGAGTCATGATAGACTTGTTTGTTACAAACACGCGATGGAATGCTACATTTCTCCAAATCTGTTCCCATGAAGAAACAAACTCATCTACATCTTGGATGGTATGAGGATAAGTAAATTTTTTTATTTTTTCGTGAACTATTCCTTTAAATAATTTCTGCACATTCTTAACACAAAAACAGGACAGAATTCATTCATCAAAATTCATTGCTATTTTCAAGAACAATAAACCTCACAACTTTTTAACATAGAACAAGGGTATTCATTCAGAATGGGCTCTTTGCAGCTTAACTGATGGACTGGAGTGGTGTGGATTACTTGTGGATTATTGTGATGTTTTTTTAGCTGTTTGGTCTCTCATTCTGACGGCACCCATTCACTGCAGAGCATCCACTACTGAGACACTGATGCAATGCTACATTTCTCCAAATCTGATGAAGAAACAAACTCATCTACATCTTGGATGGTATGAGGATAAGTACATTTTTTTATTTTTTCGTGAACTATTCCTTTAAATAATTTCTGCACATTCTTAACACAAAAACAGGACAGAATTAATTCATCAAAATTCATTGCTATTTTCAAGAACAATAAACCTCACAACTTTTTAACATAGAACAAGGGTATTCATTCAGAATGGGCTCTTTGCAGCCTTTTGTTTTACACTAACAAAGAGCTTACAGTGCGCTGTTTTTTGTTTTTTCATGATTTTGGTGATATGACAACATTCCATACAGGGGCTGAAACACTTATCAACCATCTCCAGAATAATATGAGCACAATCTCACTCGAGGAATGTTGACAGGAACAACACAAGAGCACCAGCAACAAACATCTTATGTCTTTATACATGGCCTTACCAGTCCAGTAAGTTCTTCAATGTCATGTATAGCCTGAATCTTCCCCGACAGCACGTCTAAAGAAGCTGTCAGATCAGGACTGCAAACACAAGCAAACAAGTTCAAATGCAAAACGTAATGGTATATGTTATGCAAGACTTTGCATTGTGTTTTACACAACAGATTCTTGCATTTGCAAATTTTGCATGTCAGATAAAGCTGTATCATTTCTTAAAAAAAAAAAAAAAAAATCACATTCTTCATACCGACACTGGTTTTCTTTATCCTCATGTCTGTTCTGGTGGGCACGTCTGAAGCGCTTGCTGGTTAGCGCCGCCTCTATTTCTTCAATCTCACAGCGCCGCAGCTCCCGGATCGCTGTCCGGATCAGACGCCGCTCGTCTATGTCGATAGTTTTATCAAGCTAGAGAAACGGAGAACAAGTCAGCTTTGGGAATGTAAAACATTACTTTGAGCAAAGAGTCGGTGGGGTAAGATGCGCCACTTTTTATTTACATTAGCCAAAGGGATTTGAGATAAAAGGCTAATTATATTTCAGGATATGCAAGCTCAAATTTGAAATATCTATAACACCGGTTGAATTATGGAAATGTTTTATTAGTATTGTTTTTTGTTTTTTTTTGATTTTATTAGTATGAAGTAGGGCTGGGCGATATAGCTACAGCTTTGGGAATGTAAAACATTACTTTGAGCAAAGAGTCGGTGGGGTAAGATGCGCCACTTTTTATTTACATTAGCCAAAGGGATTTGAGATAAAAGGCAAATTATATTTCAGGATATGCAAGCTCAAATTTGAAATATCTATAACACCGGTTGAATTATGGAAATGTTTTATTAGTATTAGTATTATTTTTTTATTAGTATGAAGTAGGGCTGGGCGATATAGCTAAAAAAATGCATCAACGATATAATGTTTCATATCGTTCGGTATCGATAATTATTGACATTTTTTATAACCTTT